TGAAATTTGATTATGATCTAGTTTTGAGAGACGTTTCTTCAAAAGAAAGTTTTGGAAAACACGACTTATTCCGATTTTTGACGTTTTAATGACGTTTTAAAACGTCACCCGTCCCCAAAGGGTTAAAGATATTCCAGTCTACTGCGATTGAAAAAGTAAATACTATCACCAAGTTTATGAGTGTTAGAATTTGTTCATTAGATCAGTCGCTGTTAAATTGAAATGTAACAACAAAATCGAAACTAATATTGTTGCTAGTACTCCTAATATACATAGTGGGTATAGAATGGTGAAATAAAATTTTTCGGAAAGACATTTCTTGTTCAACGATTAAAGAAAGAAATTATATATTAAAGCAAATGAAAGAAGAAGATCGTATCTACTAAACAAAAGCGAACTTCAACGACTTCAGCTCCAAAGCGTGACACAACGATCACTAAGCGAACGACGTCTGTAGTCAATCAGTGACATGTTATCAACATCGATATAACAGTGAAAAGCACCAATCAGTGTTCGGTTAATTTTTTTCTATAACGTAATAATTCGTCTTACAATACTGACAGAGCCTGGAGACTGAGCTCCTAAATCTTCAAAAATCGTTAATAAATTATTTTTGGCTTGTAGCCAATCTGGCGGTATATGATAAAAACGCTGTGTAGGTAACATGCAATTTTTCTGTGCTTGTTGACAACAACACGGTGGTTCATCTGAACATTCACCGGCGATCAACCAGTAGAGACCCAAATCATTCCCATTGATATAGGCGTGTCCACGACCCAGTCCATTAGCATCCATTAGAAGAGGACTGGCATTTAAGTCTTGGATGGGAACTGACAAATCAAATTTAGTTTGAAACCACGTCACTGGTTTTTGGATACTCTCCACCCATTCATGATTCCATTGAACTTTTGATGTTCCTTGAGCAGTATATACCTGCAGATATTCTCCTACTAGTCCTTTTTGATGTTGCCATTCGGCATGTTTTATCGATACACCAGAAATGGTTACATCACCAACAATGCCTTTGTATTCAAAACTGTTTGCTGAGACTCCGTTGTCTAATCCGAGTGAGATAGATAATATTTCCAACAGATGTTCACCTGGATTAAAGCTGGACATATCTAACGAGACACGTGCATTAACATTTCCTTGTACATGCTGATGATTATCAAATTCACCTAAATATTGCCCATTGAGGAAGAACAATAAAGCATTCGATTTACGTGTTTGAACAGTGACGAGAACATATTGATTGGGCACTGATATGGTGACATTACGACGATACCATAAATAAATAGTATCATCATTAGTCACATTCAGTTGTTCATATGGGACAGAGGCACTAATCACGGGAATTGAAGCTGTCTTTTTTCCTATGGGTTCTTGCCAAGTTTGCCACTCCAATGGTCCTTGAATTACAGGTACAATAATACTATTTCCATTAGAGATTCCACTCACATTTGAACTTTCCCATAATAAATTAACACCTTGATCGACTATCTGAACGGAGTGAGGTGATATTGTAATATTATTGTTCTCATAACGAACTTGCAATAGTTTATCGGCCTGATTCATAATAAAACTAATCTGAGCTTCTCCCTCGCCATAGATATAAGCAAATTGTTGAGTACCCACGATCCACTTTGATCCATCCCAATAGGGCAGCGCCGTTCTTGCTGGTACATCTTGAGCTAATAATATTGATGAATATTGAGCAATAAGTAGTTGTAATTTAGCTAAATGAGAATATTTTGGCTCATTCGGCGTACCGTCGGCATGTAATGGTGTGTCGTCCGCGTACATAGTTGTAATTCCTGATGCAGCTGTTCTGCCATAATTGTTTCCACCATGCCACATATAATAACTATGATAAGCTCCACCACCTGCAAACCATTCTGCTACCGAATAGGCTAAATCTTCTGTTGTTCGTATAGCTACAGCTTGTCCCCATTGCTGAAACCAACCCTCATTCTCTGTAAACATGAATGGTTGTTGAGGAAATTGTGTCAGATGATTCGCTGTCCAACCATCGTCAACGCAATTGCAACTGTTACATGTTTCAATGGTATTATTCGTCGAATAACCGTTACACATAATCCACGGAATACCAATATTAAATTCTTCAACTACTTTACCGCACCAGTCGACATAATTCATATCGTCATCGTTATATTCATTCTCGATCTGAGCCAAGATAATGGGACCACCGTTCGATGCCAAGTACGGCTTAACGTAGTTCAAAATATCACCGATAAACCGTTTCATTTCAGCTAACCATGGTTCATTGTACGATCGAAATGAGATTTCGGGTATTTTGTTTAGCCAAGCCGGTAAACCACCATTATTCCATTCGGCGCAAACATACGGCCCAATCCTCAAATTCACAAAGAGTCCATTATCAGCAGCTGTTTGAAGAAATTGTGAAAGATTTGCTCTACCAGTAAAATCATATTGTCCTCGATTATACTCGTGGATATTCCAAAATACATAGGTTTGAATGGTATTTAAACCTTGAGTTTTAGCCATTTTGAACAAATAATCCCACATGCCTGGTGTCGAACGAGGATAATGAATACAACCAGCAATCAACATAGTACGAATACCATTGATCGTGACGGCACGATGATCATATGAGACTGTATATGGTTCTCCTTTTAAATTATCATATGTCAACCATTGGCTGACAGGTAACTTGTGATCATGACGATACTTATGGACGGCATTCAATGAGGAAATTAACAATACTACCAGCAAACTTAGAATTGATAACTTCATTATTTAGTGAGAAAAAATAAAATCAAGTGTTAGAAGCTCGACTGTTAGCAAAATATTTGTGTGTACATGAGATATCATGTATTAGATGTTAAGTTTATCTGTCTAAAATTATCTTTGTTAACAAGTACAGTCTATTAGAATTGTTAAATGTATATAAAAAGCAAGAGAAACGAAGCGCACATTGTTGTCTGTACGCTATATACGGTGAACCGGAGAGAAGTAATAATGGTGATCACAAAAAAGTTTTTTTTGAAGAACAAGAAGAAAATAAAAAGAGAAAATGTACGCCATCGATTGACAGGAAAAAGTGAAGCCATGACTCATCGGTATGTATGATGCGACAGCTTACTTTATGTAATGACTAAGCTTTCTTTCCTTGTCCTCCAGTTTACAGAGTGATTGCCTTTCCAAAATCTTAGAAAAAGATACAACTAGAAAATTTACGTAACAAACTATATCAGATTTCACGATCAAATTCCAGACTTCTCAACTGTGCTTTTTGCCAGGATATGAACTACATGTTAATGAATTTGAAAATTGTTTCAAGATCGGGTTTCTATCGAAATTTAGTATTTCCAACACGCACTGTCATTTTATGAGGGGCGACCACCATTCAAATTTTGGGTTCTGTAAAATACTGTTACAGAGACCTACTCTTAAAACTGATGTTTTACACTAGAGGATCAGTACAACTTGCATCGTACTCGTCCTCCTTTCCTCGAAATAAGATTTTCTCATCCTGTTATCTGCTTTTTGGTGAAAATAAATGACTGGGCTTAGAATAGTGCTTGATCAAAGAGCCTCTTAAAAGCCTGGAAGGCGTTTCAAAACAGATTCCAGTCGATCGTTATTCCGTTTGTTAAGTCGATATAGTTATCAGCATACAACATATTTCAGAATGTTTTATTTAAAGTACCACAGCAAAAAAAAGAGTTAGTTCACAAAATTTTCTTCGTAATTTTCTTATTCGTTTCCACGGAAAAAACATATATTAACCAAGATGATTGAGTCGAATATTCTCTACACAAGGTGTAAAAAGCTCCTAAAAATCTGTTATCGTTTCTGATATATCAAATGAGATTCGAGTAGTTTTAATTGACTTTCTTTTCGCCATACGTTGAAAAAAGAGAAAATTCAGTTGAATAGACACAGGAAAAAGAGCTCAGCCTGTCCACGTAACGGTCGCCTTTTCGTGATTCCGTCACGATTTTTGTTGTTTTGCGAGCCTCTTAGTGCTCGAACAAAAGGAAACTCAAGGACCGTTTACATCTAATCTTGTAGAGAAAAGTGAGCTGAACAAAATGTGATATTTTCTGTTTCCGCAGAGTGTCGTGGTTCTCAATTATAACAAAAGTTCTACGAGCCCTGTTTTGGCAGACTTTAGATTGGGGCTCGTAAAAATTTTGTTGTACTTGACGACCACGATATTCTGCGGAAACAGAAAATATTACATTTTGTTCAGCTCACTTTTCTCTATAAGACTAGATATAAACAATTCCTTAGTTTACTTTTGTTCGAACGCCAAGAGACTCGCAAAACAACAAAAATCGTGACGGAATCACGCGTTACGTGAACAGGCCGAGCTAGTCCATTCAGATACATGAAGTGTTCAAAAAGAACATCCAAGAATACAGACATTTTTGATAAACTAAAATTCTATGTAATTTCGGCCATGGTGTGTAGTCGTAATCTAATGCTTACGTTAAATTAACAGCAAATGAATAAAATAATGTATTTAGTTCTTATTATGGAATACATCCTTTTGAATTGAATGAAAGGCAATCAAGTTTACAACATAAAAAGACCCGAGATATCTAAAAAGGTTCCATCCTTCAAGTATTTTTTTTATAATGTTCATATTTATAAGCAAATCACTAAGTGATTTATGATAGGAAAGTATATTTATATAGTTCAATTCGCTGTTTCATTTCGATATTATTAACAGGGCATTGCCAATCAGGTCCTCCGATCTATTATGATAAATTAGTGTTTTTCAGCTTAAACTTTACATCCTCCTTTTTTGCTTGTCTTCCTCCTTTCAAAACTTTCCGATTCCTCTGAAGTCCCTCTTTTTTAGGAAAACTTCTGTACAAAGCCACGTACCAGGATATTTTCAAGAGCACAGCCTGAAAAGCAAGAAGAACGAATACCTCATCTTGTGGCTACTATACCGTTACCGGTATGTGCTCCTGACAAACTTCTACAGCGGATAATCCTGGACGATGGTCGCCGGTCTTTTTGCTAATTATCAACTACAGTTTTTGAATTTGCACTTGAAGTTTATTTTAAAACAGTAAGTAAACTTAACAGAGATAGAAATGATTGTTTAATAAAGAAAGTTTATCATATGTAAATTATGCCACCTTGCGACAACAGCTGTCTCCAAGAGGGTAGAAAAGAGAAAATATAAAACACAATACAAAAGAAAATATTTTTAAAAAAATAAAATGAGTCAAATATATAAATATACTTATACTGCTTCCACTATGTTTCTGTGATACTTGCTACAACGCAGTTTTTAGCAGGGGGAGTTGCAGTCTATGGTGGTAAGATAAAAGAATAAAGACGCTATATATTCTTTAGCTACCATTCGCGTCTCAACCTGTTGTACTACGCCCCCCCCCCCCGCGGGGGGGGGGGGGGG